CACCGATAGGGTTTCTCCCCTGTGTGGATTCTCTGATGCTCTGTCAGGTATGCACTGAGAGTGAAGCTCTTTCCGCACTCCAAGCACTGATAAGGTCTCTTCCCAGTGTGAATTCTCTGATGTGAGCTGCGGCTTGTGCTCAGACGGAAGCTCTTCCCACACTCCAAGCATTTGTATGGTTTCTCCCCCGTGTGGAGTCTTTGATGTGAAGTGAGGTGTGTGTTGTGACGGAATCGCTTCCCACACTGCAGGCATTGGAAGGGCTTCTCCCCAGTGTGCATCCTTTGGTGGGAAGCAAGGCCTGTGCTTTGAGTGAAGGTCTTTCCACACTCCAGGCATTTATATGGTTTCTCACCCGTGTGAATCCTTTGATGCACTGTCAGGTTTGCAGCCCGACTAAAACTCTTTCTGCACACCAAACACTCATACGGTTTCTCACCTGTGTGGGTTCGGGAATGTGTCTCCAGCTTTGATTTACAACTGAATATTTTTCCACAGGAAGGGCACTGATAGTTTCCTTTCCCTGTGGGGTACTCTTGATGGATCAGAGTTTCACGGAAGTCATTGCTTTGACAAACAGCAGGGGCATTAATCCAGTTCTCTGCTTCATCTCCAGCCTGCCTCCCAGATCCTTCTTCGGTTCCGAAATTCCCATCCTCTTCTGCAGGCTCAGCCTTTTCTGATGACGCTTCACACAGATTCCTGTCATTCGTATTACCCTGTCCATCACCAGCTGAAATGAAAAAGACCGGCTGGATTACAAGGGAGAAAACGATAATAAGCATTTATTCAGAAAGAAACCCCTACCTCAACGCACCAGAGAATCAGTATAAATGTAATTTATTTATTTATTTATTTTAATCTGTTATTTGTATTTATACCCCGCCTTGCCTGACAAGCAGGTTTAAGGCGGCTAACAGGATTAAATAACATGACAAAAAATTAAAACAATTAATACCATATCAGTTAAAACAAATGAACAACAACAATTACAGAACCAACTATGGCGGTAATCTAATCAAATCCCAAAATAGGGGTAGTAACTAGCGGAGACTCTGGCCAGAAGATGGTCTAAATTCGGCCAGAAGATGTTCCAGGGCACACCCCTCAGTGGCGGCCCCTAATTGAATGCCTGGCAGAAGAGCACTGTTTTACAGGCCCTGCGGAACTGTGAGAGGTCCTGCAGGGCCCTGATGTTCTCTAGGAGCTCGTTCCACCAGTATGGGGCCGCCACTGAGAAAGCCCTGGTTCTGGAAGTATTCAGCCTGGCTTCTTTTGGATTCCTTAATCCACTGCAATATGATTTCTAATTAAGAACATAAGAGAACCCAATGTTGGATCAGGCCAATAGCCCATCAAGTCCAACACTCTGTCACACAGTAATTTGATCATGTGAAATAAAGTCAGATAGGCACCCTGGAAAACAGCAGCTTTTGCCAGAGTGGAAGTGGAACGTGCTCTCTTATGGTGAGGCTCCAGCAACAGACTGAAATAACAAAGTCATCCCAACAATGTTTTCAACCAAAGAGCTCAGAGAGCACACTGAAACCAGTTCAGCCTCATGACATGCCAATGTGGTGTAGTGGTCAGGGTGTCTGGGATTCTGTGAGACCCCAGGTTCGAATCCCCACCCTGCCATAGAAGCTTGCTGGGTGACCTCGGGCCAGACACACACAGTCAGCCTGACCTACCTCACAGGATGTTTGTAAGGATAAAAGAAGAGAGGAGAACCATGTAAGCCACGTCGAATCCCCATTGGGGAGAATGGTGGGATAGAAATAAAATAAGGTGAATAAATTCTATTTATTTATTATTTTCAGTTTGTATCCCACCTTACCAGGAAACGTTCATACTGCTCCACAGAGTTTTCTCACCAACACTGTTTAAATTCGCCTATCCATAAAGTCGTCTAGCCATATTTATTTATTTATTTATATTTATTTTTGAGATTTCTATGCCGCCCTACCCGATGGCTCAGGGCGGCTAACAACGTTTAAAAATTGAGTACAATAAAACACTGTTACACATATAGTAAAATCTGGTGCTACAAAAACCTACATAGAATTACACAAAACACAGCAACCCACATTTAGCAGCTCGTATTCTTAAAGGCGAGAGCGCCAGGAGCAGTTTTTCACAGCACAGTCGGGCAACATCTGCTCCCCAAGATGTGATAGATGGATAATATCGTCACGGTGGTGGTATAGCGACGGCTCCTACCCAAAGGCCTGGTGGAAGAGCACCCGCTTACAGGCCCTGCGGAACTGCATAAGGTCCCGCAGGGCCCGGATCTTCTCTGGGATCTCCCCCGGGAGCTCATTCCACCAGGCAGGAGCCGCCACCGAAAACGCCCTAGATCTAGTATGGGCCAGCCTCACAGCTCGGGGGCCTGGAACGTCATCCTGCCCTTCCTCCAAGCTCAGGGTGAGGTCAGTGGTTCTCCCCCATCCTCCATTTTCTTTTTACCACAACCCTGTAAGGAAGCTGTCGTGGAATTAGGGCTGGACTGAGCCTCAGTCCTCGGCTAAAACTCTGCACAACCTCCGGCACACCTATGATACTTTCATTTCTATAGTAACTAACTTGTATAGTTGAAGCTTTGGTTCTGTTTCCCAAGAGGCTTCAGGCCGCTGCTATGTGCTGTGTGTGGCCTTCAGGATATCACTGTACACGACTCTCCCTGACATGACTTTCGCTTTCTGGGAATGTTTATGCTTCGCTAAACTCTAAATAGATAAGAGTATCAGAAACTAGATTCCTTGATTCTGTGAGTCACTCTGGCTTAACCCAGCTTCCCTTGACTTTCCTGACCCCGGAGATAGAAAGAAAGGGCTGACTTTGTTGCATATACCAGATGTATGTCAAATACTCATCACAGACTTGACTGATAACAGTAGCTTCTATGAGTGAAAAAGAATACTTAATGTCTGATTTTAGTCTTGTTCCTGTTTGTTCTGATAAACTACCCTCAGTTATGGGTCTTGGCAGAACAACCAAGGATATCCCTGATAGAATCAAAAGTGCACTATTTATGTATTGGGGTTGTGCTGAGATATTCTGTGCTGAATATTGAAATGCTACGATAATGTTTTCTGACTAAAGAGTGTGTAATGGGATAAACTGAGTTTTGGTTTACAACATCTCTCTCTCTCTCTCGTTCGATGCAAAACTGAACATTAAAAGATTCCTGCCCCCTCATTTCCCCAACAGAAGCTTAGGCTGGAAGCAAATGCCTAGTTCAAGATCATACAATAAACTTCAAGGCTCACTGAACTTGGGTCTCCCTTGTCTACACCACACTAGCTCCACTCACATTATCCATATTTGATGAGTATACAGATTATCTGCAACCCGCCTCACGAGAATGTGTGCAAAGTCACAGATTATGAATTAATGTAACTCAAAAGGCCTGGAGCTTTGGTGTGAGCTGTTATTAGTATCCTGATGTCTTGGGGTCTGCAGCTCTCCAGAGGAAGGGGATCTTCATGGAAAAGGACACTGGAAAATATCCAGGGGGCCTGAGGAGGTAGCCCGGAGCAGCAAAAGACATCTGCTGAGACAACAGGTCAGTCTGGCCTAGAGGAAATGAAAAGCATGCCAAAAACGACCACCACCACCCTCAGAGGGCCGCATTTTTACTCAAAGGGTCCTCCCACCCACAGAAGCAAATACCTTCGTCAGGGTCCTGGAAAAAAGGATCTTCTTCGAGCCAGGTAATGAGGTCAGGTTTGGGAAATGCAAATACTTCTGCGGAGGAAATGAATACGAGTTATTATTATTATTAATAATAATAATAATAATAATAATATACTTTATTGTCATTGTACATAGTACAACGAAATTAAGATGCAATCATTTTGGTGATCTACAACCATACTCATATACACTCACACAACCATTCACAACCATCCCATAACTCCCTTAAGGTTCACATTGCAACTTAAACCACCAATGTCACCCAAATTCCAATTTCATACAGCATTTAAAGCAATAATAGCTCTCGAATAAAAACTATTTTTTAATCTGTTTGTCCTTGTTTTAATTGTCCTATATCTTCTACCCGAAGACAACAGTTCAAACAGGGAGTGTTCAGGGTGTGACAAATCCTGCAGAATGTTCTTTGCTTTTTTCAAACATCGAGAACTATACAATTCCTCCAGGAACGGGAGAGGGCAGCCAATAATCTTCTGGGCTATGATGATAACTCTCTGGAGTGCTTTCCTATCCCATAATAAGTTACTGTAGCTATTGCAAAAATGTACACGAATTCCAAAGTAGCCTGTTTCCCGCCCATCCGAAAGGGAAGCACCCTCTCCCCCCATTGTTTTTCTTCTTCTTAACTTCTGCATGCAGGTTTGCAGCCAACAAGACCGAGCTGCTGGGTTCACAATGCATCTCTCTGGCATTGTTCAGGATAATTCCACTGGTCCTGAAACATGGACTGACACACCAGTTAAGAAAGCTGAAAGACCATCCCTTCTTTTAAGGCAGACAGATCTTGGATATCTGAGCAGAGATAAATGGGGTGGAGGAGGCATTCTATGGAACGCAGTGCCACAAGATATGGTAGTGGCCACTTATTTATGTGGGGGGGATGAACTGGGCAACTTCACAGGGGACAGGTCCATTCGTTACAATAATGAAATGGAACCTCCATGTTCACGAGGCAGTCTACCTGTGAATGCTGGCGCTGGGGTACAGGCAAAGAATGGGAGGACACTGTAGTAGGCCTCCTAAAGCCACTGATGGAAGAGGATGCTGTACCCACTGATGTGATCTAGCAGGACTCTTAAATTCTTACGTACATAATAAGGCCTGCCTTGATTAACCGAGAAGAAGCGGTCCTTACCCAGAGAGACCACGTTCCCATAATTCTCCAGCATGACTTCCCTGTAGAGAGATTTCTGGCCCGGATCCAGCAGAATCCACTCTTCTTCAGTGAAATACACAGCCACCTCCTGGAAACTCACCGAAGTCTTAAATAAATGGACATACGTATGGTTTCGAGCCGTCTCTTCAGCATTCCGGAGGGTCACCACCTTTAAAAACAAAACAAAAGCATATGAGCAGAGCTCCCTTCCCAAACAGGACCTAAAGGGCAGATCACCCCTGAGACCAGGAAAGAAAATGCTTCCCTGAGATGGAGCCCATCAGTCCTCTGCACTTCAGGCTGCTCATCCAGCGCCGCAGCGGTGCCAAGAACAGTGCGCTGCCTGCACCGTGGTCAAGGGGCAGATGCGTCCGGTAGCCATTTGCGTGAAGAGAGGCTGGATTCTGTGCCATGCACTGGCCTAGTCTGCATGGCAGCAGGGACACTGCCACCCACCGAAGCGGCCATTTAAAGGGCACCCCTCCTCCACAGTCCACTTATCAAGGGCTGGGGCAATGTGGAGCTGCACACTGCAGATGGACTGGCATTTGCATCAAAAACCCTTCACGCATGCGCAACAGGCTACGGATGCAACGCTTCTTCCCCACGTACAATCCTGGCTGGCTGTGAGGCCTGTTTGTGTCTGCCTCTCTGCCTCCTGGGCTCCTGTTCAGAGAAGCCAGCAGGTAAGGAGAGAAGCGAGTAGGAGATGCTGTGGCTTCAGCCCTTCACTGAAGGGTGCCTGCTCCTAGGTGAAGGGGAGGGGCATGGTCCAGAAAGGGCTCAGGAGGAAATGTCCCCTTGCCCCAGGCGTTTCTGTCACATGAGGCCAAGGCACAATCAAAAAAGAAGGGATTGGATTTATACCCTGCCCTTCACTACCCAAAGGTGTCTCAGAGAGGCTTACAAACTCCTTTCCCTCCCCCTCCCCACAACAGACACCCTGTAAAAGAAGAAGAAGAAGAGATTGGATTTATACCCCGCCCTTCACTACCCAAAGGAGTCTCAGAGCGGCTTACAAACTCCTCTCCCTTCCCCTCCCCACAACAGGCACCCTGTGAGGTAGGCGGAGCTGAGAGAGCTCTGACAGAAACGGCTCTTTTTCAAGAACAGCTCTTATCAGAACTATGGCTTGCCCAAGGTCATCCAGCCAGGTGCAAGTGGAGGAGTGGAGAATCAAACCCGGTTCTCCCAGATTAGAGTCCGCACATTTAACCACTACACCAAACTGTCAAAGGGAGGCTGCTGCTGACACAAGGGAAGTTCTTGAGGACATGCAATAGTTCATAATGTGTAACTGAACTCAAGTCACAGATAGTTCCAGGTGGTCAGCCGTGTTGGTCTGAAGCAGCAGAACAAATCTAGAGTCCCGTGGCACCTTTAAGACCGACAAAGGTTTATTCAAGGTAATGGGTTTTCGTGGGCACACATGCTTTTTCAAATACATTGGAAAGGAAGGTAGGAGTTCAAACTCAGACAAAGGCTGAACAGCAAATTACCATGTAACATGATGAAGATATGTGAAGACAAAACTAAATAACAAGTTAAGGTTATAAGGTTTTGATTTAATTAAGGGGGGACAGAACAGTAAAATAATAAATATGTCAAAATAGGGGATAAATGTTTGAAGGTATCTTTTCCTAACTGTATCTCAGTTTACTTCCCACAATTAGAAAAGACAAGAAAGAAGACCCGCGAAACTCGCGGGGGGCGGGAAGCTCACAACTCAGCGGCCGGAGGAGGAACCAGCAGGAGCAGGTAAAATTCCCCCCCATCCCGCCGATTCCTCCCCCGTCTCCTCCACCCCCGATTTTCCCCCCTTCCCT